TGATTGTCAAAACATTTCTGGACAAAGGCAGCAGTTATGGCTGTTATGTTAAAAAAAAGTTTGTAATTTTTGGAGGCACATGGTAAATTCATAAATTCTTTGCAGGTTCTGATTAACAATAGTCCGAGGAGGACAATTTGTGGTGAAAATATTGTCATGACATGAGAATGAGAGAGCAGTGTGTTGGTATTTTTGCTTATTTTTGTTTTTCTTTACACCTATCAGCAGCGATTTATTAATATTTGTGCTAATGCAAATGCCAATTTCTATATTCTGCACTGTGTCAAATAACTATTATTTGGATGAATGTTATTCATCTGTCAGTATCTTAAAGGTGGCTCCGCTGATTTTACTTTACTTACAAGGTTAGACATGCTCCGCCTGTGAAAACACCTGTATAATGACTTATGTGGCACTGAAGAGAGGTTTCCAAAGTCTGAGAAGTCAGTTTAGCGTGGAGGCCACAAATCTGTAACTAAAACCTTGCATTGCAAACTAGGGATGGTATAAATTTTGACACCCAGGCCCAAGTCCCCCCAACATTATAGAAGTCTAACACTAAATTGCTGGACTACCCCTTTCATTCCACAGTTAAGGTTGCTGAGACGTTTACCTCCATGAGTTTGACCTGCCGCTCTCGCTCTCCCACCGTGGCTGTGTTCCTTTCCTCAAGCTCCTCCACCCTCTGCTCCAGCTGCTGGGCCCTCAGCTGGGCCTCCTGCTGCTCCCTGCGACACCAACGCAGATCCTCCTCCAGAGGAAGCAGCTGCATGCATAACAGACCACAGAACAAACACCCACTGTAAGATAAGGTAACATGCAATGTCTGCTAATGGGCACTCAGTCAGACATTATTTAACATGTATGCAAGTACTCATATTTGGTAACACATCTGAGAGGCTACTCTTTTATGTTTCTGTTTAATCTCACGCAAAATATTAAAACATGTTTTAGGATCCTGTTACCACCAACTCAGTCCAAAAAATACTGAAACAAAGGGACGTAACTCCTTTCCATCCTGGCGTCGAGTTTTTATTTGGTTTTCTCGGTGACTACAGACTGAACTAAGTTGAACCCACATACTGGTGAATCAGAGAGACAATGAGTACCACACCTCTTCCTGCAGTTTTTTGGCTGCCTGACGGGATTTCTCCAGCTCTGTTCCCTTTTCCTGCAGCTGTCGCCGCAGCTCGTCCAACTCCCTCTGATTCTTCTCTCTGGCCTCATCGACCTGGTTCTGAAGTACATCTGTAGACGCCTCACACTCCTCCATGATGCTATTCATCTGAGCACAGACAGAAACAAAGAGCGCATCTTAGATGAGATAAGTGGACCTCTTTAGTTATAGGGAAATAGGACATAATGCATCTAATCCAATGACAAGAAATATGAGCTGTTTCTGCGGATCTCATGTGGCTTCAGGGTCAAGATTGTTGATTTTCAGGTCTCATTTGACTCCAGACAGAAAAAGCTGGATTTTCCCAGAGGGCCCAATAAATAGTCCAGGTCCACCTCTCACCTTCCTCTGCAGCTGCTCCACAGCCCTGTCCTGCAGCCTCCTCTCATCCTCCAGTTCAGTTTTTGTCTTCCACAGCTCCTCTTTTTGCTTTCTCTCCTCCTTCAGCTTCTCCTTCAGGTCCCTGTGCTCATGATTTAGTTTGGTTAACTTACCCTGGAGAAAAAAACAAAAACAGAACAAAGGGGGAGACTGTGAGCTACCAAGGGATATAAAATGTCCTGAAATCAGTCATTCAAGCCGTTTGTCTTTTTTGATTAAGATTCTTGAGGATGTTTTTGACTTTATTTGATCCCTCAGTGTAGAGAGACAGGAAGCATGGGAAGTGAGAGGAGATGTGATGAAACAAAGTACTTTGCAGTTACTTAGCATGCATCTTAGACCACTAGGCCACCACAACACCACCAAGCTGTTTCTCTGAAGCTAACAGCGACCTTGCTTTACCTGTACATCCTCCAAGCGAGTGAGCAGCGACTGGTTAGACTGAGAGATCTCTTCCTCATTCCTCCTCACATCTTTCAATGCTTCCTCAACCTGCTGCTTTTCCATCTGGGGAACGAGGAAAAAATTGTTCATATAATTAATAGAGCACATCAGTATAATATATGCTGGAAAAACTCATGTTTCCAAGTATCCCACCTCCAGCTGCTTTGCTCTCTGGTCCAGCAGCCTCTCTGTGGTTTTACACTCCTGGATTGCCTGACTCAGCTGATCAACCTTGTTTTTCTGCTCCTGCACTTTTCTTCTCAGCTGATCTCTCTCCTGGGTCAGCTCCTTCAGCTGAACCTTAGCTGCACCTCTGTCCTCCTCTGCTTCCACCTTCTCTTGACCCAGCAGTGCATTGCTCTGGTAGACAGGATGGAATAACAAATGATGAACATGAGAGGCAAAAAAACACATTTTAGTTTTTCGAAATAAAGAGAAATTGTAGAAACGTATGTCTTCCGTGTTACCTCTTTAACCAGCTCTAAATCCCTGAGCAGCTTTTCTAGCTCGTTTTCATATTCATCCTTCAGAGCGGCCATATAGTTGTCATGAGTCTCCACTTCCTCTTTGAGCGCCCCCTTTAGGGCACTGAGCTCCCTCTCCTTACGGCGCAGCACCTCCTCCTGCTCCTCCTTCACCTGCAGCATCTCTTGAAAGTCCAAACGCAGCTGCGCCAAATCCTGACACACATACAACAAAGTACAACATCACTGCTAGTGAAGGAGCTTTACAGCTGCGGTTGATTTGTGACGTGTATCTTGTGCATGTGGTTTCACTTACCTTCAGAAGGACTTCTTTCTCTGTGTTTATCACCTCTGCCTTCTTGGCCTGGTCCAGCTCATCATGCATCTCAGAGAGCTGCTGCTGAAGGTCTTTCATCTCCGTCTTAGATCTCCCTCTCTCTGCCTTCATAAGAGTTAGCCTGACAACATACAAACATATGCAAGAAAGACGTTTCATATTTTATTTCAAGGAAAAAAGCCTGCTTACCCTGCTTTAAATTTTTAGAAAGGTTAGCCAGTTAGCTTTCGGTTAGCTGAACTTAGCTTAGCATAAACGCTGGGCACAGGGGGAAACAGCTAGCCTGGCTCTGTTCAAAGGTAAAAAAAATCACCTACCAGCATCTCTAAAGCTCTACTGTTATGTGTCATTTGTTAATCCATACAAAAAACATGTGCTGGACAATTTCTTGGCTGGGAGTAGTGACTCCCAGAAGCCAAGAAATAGCTAGCCAATAATAGGGGAAAACTACAGTGTGTGATGCAGTTAGCGTTTTGCTTTTTAGCATCAATCTGACACCTTTTGAGGATTGCACTCGATTTCAAGGGTTTAAAATGAGACTTTTCTCTATGGTGGCCCTCTTTTAGCTAATGCAATTTGTAAACTGTTACATGAGTAGGAGACCAGCTCCTTACTCCTGTTTGGTAGACTGCAGTTCTGCCTCGATGTCAGCCAGCCTGTCCCTGAGTTCGCAGAGCTCTTTCTGACTTTTGGCCAACTCTTCCTGAAGTTTCTTCTTCTCTGTTCTGGCCTTTTCACAAGCCTTGGCAAGAGTCTTTTCATTCTGCACAACACAACAACAAAAACGAACATCATCAGTCGCAGGCATAGGAAGCAAGTGTTTTAGGGGTGAATATAGCAGTATGGGACTGCACCACACCTTAATCTCGGTTTCCAGTTTTTGCTTTAATTCAGACACTTCTTCCTCCAGTGCTTTCTGTTTCTCCTTCAAAAGCTTCACCCCAGCTGCATAATCCTACACATGTGGAAAAGGAGACAGACAATAACACAGTAGCATTGTCAGTTTTTAGACAAATATATTTAAATCATGCTGAATAGTGATCAACACTGGCAAACATCTCAGCCCAACACGTACTTTCTCCTCCTCCTCCACATTCTCAGCAGTCTTCCACTTGACCTTGTCGACCCTCTCAAGCAACAGGGTGACTTTCCTCGCAGTGATGGAGTCATCATCAGTCGTCCTGAGAAGCAAGAGTCCACTTACAGTACTGACAGGGTGTAATGATAAAATTATATTTAATCCTAAATCTAAACAAAGATATGGCAATGCAATCTGAAAAACGTGCAACTCCTTTCACTCAACTTTCTTTAGGTACACAGAATTATTTTTTTTATTAAACTCTGGATCTTAAATACTTTCCATGCGAAGAAGTTATTTTATCAGTGGAAAGCAAGTTCATGCTCTGCATTCCTGACTGCTGAGTGAACTCACACAGCTGGAGCAGCTCCCCTTTATCTGACTACATTACATGATCACAACCACAAGCTTATCACCCATAGGTGGCTGTATGGTTAAAGAAAACAAAAACGTTTTTACACAAGTACAAATGCAAACTCATTTATAAATTTGTTAGTTTGACATTTGGAAAATACTTGCGTTTTCTGTCCGATGAGTTGAGAAGATCTGTACGCCAAATATGAAGCTACAGTTAGTAGCTGGTTTAGCCTAGCTTAGTTTAGCTTTGCATAAAAACTAGACACAGTGGAAAACAGCTAGCCTTTCTCTGCCCAAAAGTAATAAAAGCCACTTACCTAAATCTAAAACTCACATGTTATATCTAGTTTTTTTGGACGTTTTTTGGAGTTGGTGCTCCCGGCCAAGAAATAGTCCAGAACATAACCCCTTGTAAAAGCACTTATCATTTTTACACTTTATGAATCAAACAATGTATATTTTATGTGTTAATAAGTGAGCTTTTGAGGTGCTTGTGTTTTTTACCTTTGCATAGACTCATGCTAGCTGTTACCGCCTGATTTCACTTAAGCGTTTTATTGTGTTGTCAAATGTTGTACCAATGAGTTGCTTCACCTTATGTAAAGCACTCTGTGTGTTTAAAAGGTGCCATAAGCTAAGCTAGCTGCAGGGTGTAGCTTCATATTTTAGATACAGACATTACAGTGGTATCACTCTTCTCATCTATCTCTTAGCAAGAAAGCAAATAACTAAATTTCCCAAAATTTCGAACTACTCCTTTTATTAATAATACTTGGGACTTAATGGCACTTACCCATCCTTGAGGTAGCTGAACAGTATTTGTTTTGCTGTGTCTTTAGTTGGGTCTACTGAGACTTCTTGCTGTCCTTTCAGAAGATCAGGAGTGACCTGGTTAGAGGATATATAGCAAATAAGTACACAGTTTAACTAACTAACTGTACTATAGCGCAAATCTCTTCACCTGTGTGTCTCTTTCATTAGATTCATCAGTCTGGTCACTACATGATCTGGAGATGGAGGGTTTCTCTGCTCTGTGAAGTAATTTCGCAGCCTGAGGAGATATTGTCTCTTTTCCGTGATGTCCTTTAAGCAGTGTGCTGGGCTTGTTCTCCTCCCTTTTGCTCGCCAAAGAGGCTTCTCCGCTGAGGAGTCGAGCCCTGGCTGATCCGGGAGGATATATCCCACCAGGGGTCTCGCCCCTGATGCCCTTCAGAGTCGAGGCTTTGCTGGAGGAAGAGGGGGACGACGAAGAGTCTGAGGTCCGACCGCTGTCCACGCTGCGTGACCTTTGATACTGCTCTGGGTCCAACCTGTTCCTTGGGCCCCCCCTTCCCCTCCGCTGGCTGCTGTTGAACTGGCTTATTAGCTTCCCTACAGATAAGATGGAATCTGTCTCCACAGAGTTTGGGGACCTTGCAGGGAGCTGTCGAACTGAGGGAGTTGCCTTGTTCTGGGCCACATCACTCTGGTCTTCCTCTGGGCACTCAGCAGGCAGAGGGATCCTGTGTTTGTTCACATTAGCAGTCTGGGTTGTCTCAGGAAGAATTCCGGCTTTAAGCTGTCCAGGTCGAGCGACTGAAGCTGCTGAAGGAATGACTAGGTTCAGGTTATTATTGTCAGGGTCATAAGGTCTCAGAATCTCCGGGTGTTGCTGATAATGAAACGAGGTGGTTGCAGTCCTCTGTGACCCAGATGGAGAGTGTCTTTCATCTGCAGACATCCTCACCATGCCTGGATTGTACCCCGCCTGGTGAGTGATGACAGAGATGTCCCGGTGGCTCTCCTGGCCAGAACTATTCAGAACCACGTAGGGCTGACCTTTAATCCCTTGGATCTGCACCCTGACTCCAAACAAGTTGTCCTGGCTGCCTCTGGGACTGTGTTGCTGCGTGTAGTTCCTCTGTATCCTGATGTCTGGAGAGCTGCTCAGTCTGTGAGACTCCATTGTGACTCCCCTGGATTAACAGATGAACTGGTGAAAAAACAAACCCAGTTTGTTAAAAAAACAAGTAAAGGAGACTGACCCTGCATGGGATTTGAAGACTGGTCAGGCTGCACTCAGCCAACGTAAAGACAGAATAAATGGACACTGACAAGAGGCTGATATTCAATGATAAGAGCTCCTTCTGTGTGTTCATGACAGTGTACTATTGTACAGCCAAAGCTGAGCCAACTGCATGACGACTACGAATGGCCGAGGTCTCTGAGGTGTCGTCACCCAGTTCATGGTGTAACACTTGAGGAAAATGTGTGTCAACAAATATGTTACTGTGCAGCTGAAGCACAAGAACACAAGAGGTGTTGTGCAGCAGACAAAACAAAACTGTATCTTCTTAAGTGCACCATCCTGAGTGTGGTCACTTTAATTAATAATACAACAGATTGCAGCTCATTTATATTAATAACTGAGTTTGGGAAATATTAGTACCACTTTCTAATAAGGCACCTATTATAGAGGTTTTTTAATGGCTTTGTTAATATTACAAAATAATTTACTGATCTTTTATAGATCAGCTAAGTCATTTACAAGAACAACTTTTAGGTTGCCAGGTTGTAGATAACCCTCCTCCAGCATGTCACTTGACTTCACTCAGCTGATTACCATAAGGTAGTTGGTGAGCAGTCAAGGAGGAGGATTTTACAACCTGGCAAACCCAATGACGTTCTTATAAATAGCTTGTAATTGTTCTCTAAAACATTAGTAAATTATTTATTAACCATTAACGCCTATTATTACAGCATATAAAGCCTTTATTAAGTGCTGTATTTGAAAGTCATCAAATAATTGTCCAAATTAAGTTCCTATGCTTTTGCAAACTCCTGTCGTTTGTGACATCACACTTTTGTGTGTAAAATTTAAGTTTCACAGTCTATCAGTGAATCCCGTGGAGGCAGGCTATGAAAATTATCTGCGTTTATCCGGTTTTAGGGTTTCTTTAGCCTACTTAAGGAACTTCACTTCGCCTCACGCTGTTAGCTTTAAACTCATAGGCTACAGTTAGGAAAACAATAAATGAAGGCACATGAACATAAAAATATCACAGAAAACAAGTAGCCCCATCTAAGTATTAGCCTACCCATATAGGATACTGACAGATAAAGAGAAGGTGGGGAAAAAAGTTAAAAGTACGTTTTGATCCCAAAAGTCAAGTGAGCACCGCAATAGGCTACACTACAAGTCGCTACAGAAGCAATATCGTGTTTCTTATTTTAGAGAAAAATGTAGCCTACTATAAAGACATTGATCTGAGCTGAAACTTACCCTCTGCGTGCGCATGCAGTCTGAGCGCTGAACAGATCCTCCTCCTCCTCTGTCCGCTGAGACTCTCCTGCCTCCGCCTGGACGCGATCACGCTGTCCCGCTCAGAGAGGCGTTCACTGCCTGTTCTGTGTCAGATATTCAAACCAGCTGCTGCTAAGTGCCTACTATGATTAAATATTAGACTGTATAAGACACTAATACCTATTACAACGCTACAGGACCACATAACACACAGGGAAAATGGCTATAGTAGGCTAATCCTGTGACATATTTAAGGTTTCTGTTTCTTTCTGCAGGCCTATTAAACAAATAGCCTAGTTTATGTGAAAAAAATGTGTGAAAAATAACTCATCCAGTTTTTTTTTTCAATCATTCATGTGCTCTCTGCATTGATGATGCCTTGAATAATTTCCCGAAATGGTTTCTGAATGGAAGCCCTTCTATACGTGGGGAACTCACTGGCATTTTAGGGGCTCAAACCTGGGATGTTATGGTCAGCATCTTAAACCTTCTTGGTCAATACTGCCAACTCCATCCACGACAACTTTTTTGATACTGTAAATCTTTAGCGTTTAACAGCAAGTTTGTGAAAACTGTTCCTTTTATGCTAACTGATCCTTTTATCTTCAAATTCATGCATGAATTCTACTTTTTGTTATGAGTAACTACAAACAAATCGGTCTCTTTTGGAACTTTGTTACTTCACACACATTACTTTGATAACTTCTCAGAAGTTAGATGTTTTTTTTCTTTCCCACCCTCAATAATAATCTTACAACTCCCCAGATATGTGTTGTGACCATTTGGAGGGGTCCGACCACTGGATTAAACCACAGAACTGTATATAAAGTAACTAAAATGAAGTGTACCTGGACCCCCTACAACAATAACAATCCAACAATAACTATGACTATCTAAATAATGTAATATATGATCACCTGTCTGTAAAAAGGGAACCTTCACTTTTGATACTTTTAGAAGTTTTGCAGGTGAAATTTATGTACTTTTCCTTAAGTGGACTTTAAAATGCAGGAGTTTTACTTATAATGAAGTAGATTTACATTGTTGTATTGCTACTTTTACTTGAGTAAAGGTTTTGAGCGCTTATTTCATCAGTGTATTATTATACAGTAGGTGTGTGTGCATTGTGCTCTACCCTTATATGTATATGGTAGAACATGCAGACTCAAATTATTTGAAAAAAAGACATTTATTGCTACATTATCATTTTGACACATGCCTGTAGGCTACTTGAAACTGTACACATACTGTACATGTTATGATAGGAGTATTTCAGATTATTGTTGATTATTATTATTTGTTCAGCAGTGTGATAAGCAAACAGACATCAATTATTCTGTAATACTGTATTGCTCTGAGCATGAAATGTGACTACGTCTAGTAAAACTGCACACAAAGGGTTTCTTGTGTAAAATCAGAGTGACAAAAGTAAATAGATACATTATGAAATTCACAATATTTTTATAAAAGATAAGTTACATAACTTAGAAAAAAGCTGAAATCTTCTATTAAAAATTCAAACATGCAAAGAGCTTCGACTACTCACTGAGAAGAAGAGGGACTCTGTCCACCAGTGTATCATTAAATGTAATCTTGTTAACAGTGCTATTACACAAATCTGTAACAAATGTACAAATAACAGATGATGCCCACGTGTTAAAGAACATTCTCGGAGATCTGTTCATTCACAGAATGGTCAACCTCCTGCAATACTCACTCTGAAAAAACACACACACACACACACACACACACACACACACACACACACACACACACACACACGACAAATGAAATCCATTGTCTGAACACACAAATGTGGGAATGTCAATCCTCTGAGTTCGGTCGAAATCACAAGTGTACATGGTAAATAGTTATACACTGTAAAAGTCATTCAGAAACTTATCTGGCTCTGCCTAAATCAAACTGCAGATGACACCTCAACACTACTGGGTTTCATCCTTTCAGATATATATTCAAACAGACAGATAATCAATAAATATACAAAATATGTACAAAACATCTGCAGCTTACAATGCATTTGTCTGTTACAAGTAAAGTTTAGGCACAAAGTTAGAAGTCCGTTCGGGAGGGGAGGAGATGATTGTTCAGCTGCATCACACTTTGCAAAGAGAGAGGTTGACCGGTTGCTCTGGTCCGAATTAAGAAGAAACGCTGGACATCCAAAAACAGCTGGATGCTCCTGGGATGCTATTCACTCAACATCTGGACATCAAAGATACAGAGGCGTCAAATATAATGACAAGATCAAATCTTTTTATATGAATATTATTAATAAATTTGAAATATGCTTTAAAGCGAACTTTTCAATCACATTTTTGAAAGAAAAATATATTTTCTATATTTTCTATTATCATTTCAGAAATTGGTTATTGTTACATACTTGATGTGGGTTTGATGTAGTTACTATGAGATGCTCAGAGGTGGCCCATTGGGTTTGCTGGGTCTGTCAGACTGGGATGGAAAGAAAGATGCATGGACTGTGGATCTGTCATGACCGCAGACGCCTTCTCTTCCTCTCTCCTCCGCAGACACGCTGCCTTCGGGTTCAGGTTCCTCTCTGTGGGATTCAACAAACAATGAGTTAGAAACTGAATACGTGTGGTAGTACATGGATATTATTAATTTCCATCCCCTGTGTGATGCAACTACTGTATTTTAGTTCTGGGGAAACTATTGGAAAATACCACCATAACATGAATTCTGGTTTGGCTGCCATTTTAATCTTAGTGTTTCACAAATTAATTCTCTTTTTCATTCTCATATTAGTATATAAACAATGGATCAAATTAACCGACAGACGCTTTTTTACCACATTCAATTCTTCTCAGCTCTGTGGAACATTTCAGCATCTTTAGCTCATTGTTTTGATTCTACCACTCACAAATTTAATGTTTTGGTTCACTCTCTCAGCTCTCATCAGTGTAGTTTTTAGCTGCAGCTGTTTTTGGTGAAAATGCTCTCAAAATCCACCGAACACCACCACTGTCCAGAATCAAAAAGCTGACAGATAAAGTTCGCGACAAGCTGGAAGGTAGTTCCCTCAGGAGTTGGTGGAAACTTCGGAAAATAAATGAATAAATAATTAAATGAATGAATAAATAAATATGTGGGTGCGTAGACATTTTACTCTGGATAAACTGTTGCTGAAAATATGTTTAGACTGGTTACTTTCCTACACTAACCCCTAATTGTGGGCTTCTCATTTTCACATTCTCCATTTTATTTCTGACAGAGAGACATCTTTGCATCTCCCTCTGAGGTGGGATCATCAGAGACGAGGACATGTAACCTGTGCAGCTCAACCTGCAGCAACGATGCACTGACCTCTGACTTGTTGTTCCAGGCTGAGGATCACTGCCACGGCCTGGTGCAGCACCAGCAGCTTGGTCTGTGGCTTCTCACTCTTCAGGTGCAGCTGACACATGTGACCCAGCTCCTTAAAGGCCTCGTTGATGTCCCGCACACGCAGACGTTCACGGGCATTGTTGGCCATCCTCCTCTCCCGCTCACGTTCAGCCTTCTGCTCTGGGCTCAGGTCCTCATCCTCATGGATACTACAACATCAACAAAGTGTGAGAAAACGCTAGTAAGTTTACATTTTAAATGAATCTTTTAAAATGACAGATTTATACTTTTAAAACTGATATTCAAGCTTATGTGGATCTAAGTGAAAGCTTCAGTGGATCACGTAAGAGGACCGTGTTGAGTTATACTGTGGATTTCTCTGCCCTCTGCTGGTCAATGAGCTGACTTCCTGTTATTGAGCCTCTAGAGGTCATCGGATATACCCTCATTTGTTCTGTGAAAGGGGCTTACGTAGTACGTTGACAACAAGCTCATGTGATCAACCGCAGAGATCCACTTTTAGTCACATTCCAACAAATGTTTTCTTTTCAATCATTGTCTTGTTCAGTTTTAATAAGAAACTAGAACAAACTAAAAAAGTCCAGTAGAGCTGGAGGGTCATCCATGTATGTCAACATCAATATCCCTCAACAAGATTATAGGTCTGAATAAAAAGAAACCATGCACTCAGGCATCCGAGCTGATGTCATGAAGAGGTTTGTCCTGAAGTGACCTTAGAAATTAAGAGACACCAGGACTGACACTCTAATGAATCTGTGAGATTTTCAAGATGTACAGTCTGGGTTTGAATCACTGACCTGACTTACTAAATACACATTTTTCCAGTGACTCAATTTGCTAAATAAGTGATCAATAGAAAATTATTCTGTAAACTATTCTGATAAACGATTAAATAAAACACTCCCTTTTTCCAGCTTCTAAAATGTGACGGTTTGCTGCTTTTCTCAGTTTCATATTTTTGTAATTTGAATATCTTTGGGTTTTGGATTGTTGGCCATAAAAAACAAGCAATTTGTTGATATCACCCTAGCCTCTGGGAACCTGTAACAGACATTTTCCTCTATTTTAGAAATGATTCATTGAAAAAATTAAGATTAATCGATAATGAAAATAAATGTACTGTAAAAAGATTTATTTTGGTCCCGTTTGTGTTTGGGGGATTTTTATAACCCTGCTACCAAAGTACACCTTTATATCATTGATAGCTTCATCATGTACTGTATATCCTGGCAGCTGCTCTTTTCTCTTCATTTAATTCACTACAACCTAATCTGACATGAACAAGAAATATGAGGCAAAGCTAAATAGGCTTGCCTGGACACAGCTGCTCTTCACAGTGGGGGGTTTGACAGTATTTTAAATTAGTGAAACTGAATAGCAACGAGGCTCTAATACTGGCCTTTGAGTGGTACTTTTATTTTGAAATCTTCCACTTAGAGGAAATTGAGACAGTTTACCTGTTTTCTCCTTGTGTTTTGTGTTCACTCTCCTCATCTGATCTCTGGCTGTCAGAGCTGTGGCTGTGATTGGTGTGCATCATCTCTTCTCTTTCCCCGCTCTCTGTCTTCAGCTCCAGATTGCCCTGAACTCCCAGACCTCCTGTGGGAGTTCACACAAAATGAAAAATAAAAAATTAAACTGTGACATCTCTTAAGTCCTAACAGTTCAAAGCTTCAAACGTGCAGATAAAGGAG